GTGTGCCACGTGACCACTGGTGATGAAAGCAGGACCTGTCCCCTCACCGACTGACCCAATTTAGTGTTCTTGGCTGGTTCTGTTTCCACGCTATACGGCCACCAGTTGGACAAAACACCATTATGTTGGAGGTACTCGGCTCAAACACGTGGCCACGTGGCACGTGCCAGACCTTTGACAGCTTAACGGCTCACGCCACGTCATGACCAATATAAGTGGCCATCGGCATGTAAAAGATGACCCCGGCCGGTGTCACCGTCTCTGAACAGTGGACGGCTAAACTTGAAAAATGGGAAAATTTAGGGAAATTTTACCTTTCGAATATAAAATTTCCCCAGAATTTTAAATTTTTCATTTTGCAAAAAAAATCCGAGATAGCAGTTTTTTAGGCCTTTTCATTTTGTGTCTATACCCGTTTTCAGATCGACCCTATGATAAAAACTGACGGCCTGACGGCCATTTCCCCCATTCCTTGCATTTAACAACGTTGGTGTATTTAAGCACAAAAATTGACCTCGTGCCACGGCACGTGCAATAGCACGTGCGCCACGTGACCACTAGTGGGACAAGCTGGACTCATCTGCTCACCGGCTGCACTTATTTGGTGTCGCTAGGTGGAGTGGTTTCCACGCCATAGGACTCCCAGTTGGCCAATGTCGGATTTTCCCGGAGGTTACCCCATCAAACACGTTTGCACGTGGCACGTGCTTTTCAATCGCCCCATATCTGACCCATACCATGTGGTAGCCGACATCCGGGGGCACAACATATTGGGATATTTTCAAAATCTAACGTGGAAATTTTTTGCAAAATCGATTTGAAAATAATTTTTCGAATTCGCCATAGGCTCAACATGGGGTAACTGTCTGTGCCAATTACCCGAAAGTTCTCTAATTATATTTTAAGCGGTTACCACCGACGGGTGGGGTGCCAGCCCGAGAGCCGACCCTAAAAATGCGGACAAATATTACTGAACAGATTTTCCGTAAATCGCATTTTTAATTTTTCCCCATGTTAACCCTATGGGAAAATGCACGTGCCGCTTACCCCAAAACGTGTCAATTATATTTTTTGTAACTTTGCCAGCCGGTAGCTCCCCCACACGGGACCAAACGGTGAAAATGGCAAGAAAATCTAACTATCCGTTTTCGCGGGGATCAAAATGACCAAAATCGCGGCCGAAACGCTAAACACCCCCCTAGAGAGGTAGCTCAGGTTGGGATTTTCAATAGAAAATCACAATTCTAAAGAATAGTGATTGTCTTATTGAAAAGTCCCAACCTTCGGATAGGCCCGGGCAGCGCTTGTCGAACAGCACTGCGGATCCGAAGGTTGGGACTTTAATTGTGAAAAACCGCCCGCCCGCCCGCCGCCAAACGCAAACACCGCAAAACGTGCAAAACGCACGCCTAAAACGCGAACGCAAACTTCGAAAAAAAAAAATCGCCCGCCCGCCGAAAACCGCAGAAAAAACGCACAAAATTCCGCAAAAAAACGCGCGTCCGCCGCAAAACAGAAACACCGCAAAAAACGCAAACACCGCTGCCGCAAAAAACGCCCGCATCGCCCGCCGCCAACCGCGAAACGCCGCAAAAAAACGGCCGCACGCCGCGAACCGCAAAACGCCGCAAAAACGGCCGCCTGCCGCAAACCGCTAAACGCCGCAAAAAACGACCGCCCGCCGCTAACCGCAAATAACGGCCGGCCGCCGGCAACCGCAAAACGCCGTAAAAAACGGCCGCCCGCCGCAAACCACAAAACGCCGCAAAAAAACGGCCGCCCGCCGCAAACCGCAAACCGCCGCAAAAAACGGCCGCCCGCCGCAAACCGCCGCTAAAACGGCCGCCCGCCGCCAAACGCAAACAGCAAAAACACCCGCATCGCCCGCCCGCCGCCGCCAAATACAAAAGCCGCAAAAAACGCAAACACCGCCGCAAAAAAACGCCCGCAACGCCTGCACGCCCGCCGCCAACCGCAAAACGTCGCAAAAAACAGCCGCCTGCCGCCAAACGCAAACACCGCCAAAAACGCAAAAACGGCCGCCCGCAGTCAAACGCAAACCCAGAAAAAACGCAAACACCGCCGCAAAAAACGCCCGCCGTAAGAAAAACGCTAACACTGACGCATTAAGACAAATATGGCGCCCTGCGGCAAATGTGGTGCAATCATATCTGCCGTTTAAGCAGCCATCCCTTAATTACAGCGCATCCTAATCGTCCAATGTTCGACAAAGTTACGCACATTCTGCGCTTTGCGGCGAAAATGGCGCTTTGAGACAAACGTGGCGCACTGCAACAAACATGGTGCATTCGTTCATTTCGCTTAACAATTCATCCATCCACCAAATTCTAGCCCAATCGGACTTAAACTGAAAAAGTTATGTACATTTGAATATTTCACCATAAAATATCTCCGTAACGGAGGTGCCCAGATTTGCACGTGTGCCACGTGACCACCGGTGGTGCAAGCAGGACTTGTCTCCTCACTGATTGCACCATTTTAGTGTTCCTGGCTTGTGCTGTTTTGGTGCTATAAGGCCACAAATCGGCAAACACACGATAATCTGGGAGGTACGCGACTCAAACACGTGGCCACGTGGCACGTGCCGGACCTCTGATAGCTTCACCGTTCACGCCACGTGATGACCCATCGACGTGGCCATCAGCATGTAAAAGATGACCCCGGCCGGTGTCACCGTCTCTGAACAGTGGACGGCTAAACTCGAAAAACGGGAAAATTTAGGGAAATTTCACCTTTCGAACATATAATTCCCCCACAATTTTTAATTTTTCATTTTACGAAAAATCCGAGATAGCAGTTTTGTAGCCCCCTTCAGTCTGTGTCTATACCCGTTTTCAGATCGACCCTATCATAAAAACTGACGGCCTGACGGCTATTTCCCCCATTCCTTGCATTTCACAATGCTAGTATATTTAAGCACCAAAATTGACCCCGTGCCACGGCACGTGCAATAGCACGTGCGCCACGTGACCACTAGTGCGACAAGCTGGACTCATCTGCTCACCGGCTGCGTTGATTTGGTGTCGCTAGGTGGAGTGGTTTCCACGCCATAGGACCCCCAGTTGGCCAATGTCGGATTTTCCCGGAGGTTACCCCATCAAACACGTTTGCACGTGGCACGTGCTTTTCAATCGCCCCATATCTGACCCATACCACGTGGTAGCCGACACCCCGGTGCACAACATATTGGAACTTTTTCAAAATCTAACGTGGAAATTTTTGGCAAAATTGATTTGAAAATAATTTTTCGAAATCGCCATAGGCTCAGCATGGGGTAACTGTCCGTCAAGAATACCCGAAATTGTATCCTATGATTTTTAAATAATTAACACCAAAAGTTGAGGTGCCAGCCCTAGATCCGATCCTAAAAATATCAGCAAATATAATTGACGAAATTTTTCGCAAATCGAATTTTAAATTTTACCCCATGTTAACCCTATGGGAAAATGCACGTGCCGATTACCCCAAAACGTGTCAATTATATTTTTTGTAACTTTGCCACAAGGTAGCTCTATTGAAAAGTCCCAACCTTCGGATACGGATATTTAAACGACTATTATGTCTTGTACTTGCCAGGTCTTTAGTTGCGTCATGGCTTCATGGCAGGGTCTTTAGTTGCATAATAGCCGTTTTCACGACGGGCTATCCGGCGAATGCACCTAATTTGACCAAATCTGCACCTAATCTCTTTTGCAGGAAATATCTTCATTTTATGAATTTATTTCAGTGTTTTAATCGATGATACTCTTCGATAATATGAAAAAGCTGGCATATAAGCAATTATTGCAACCCTAGCTGATAGCAACTAAGAGACACGCTGAACCTAATTTGACCAAATCTGCGCCTAATCTGCACCAAATGTGCACCAAATGTGTACCAGATGGCCGTCGTGAAAACGGCTAATATCTATTCAGGACAGTGCTGCACTCATTCTAAAATTCGCCTTATATCGTCTTATATATTCGCCTTGGGACCGGATTTTTTTTTAGGGGGAAGGGTGTCACTTGGTTTAAAGCAATCTATCCAAAAAATGTTCAGGATGCTCGTATTTTGAATCAATGAAACCGGCATTACCTATTCCATTACGTACTGCTCACATTTCACCACATTATCATATTGTAATTTATTTGCATGCCAATGCCTGTCTTGTGCTGACATTTAAAGACAGTGGGTCTGCAATTTTTTGCACTTTTTGCCGATATTTCCGTAATGCGAAAGTGATTCCAACACACTGAAGGGCCGTGCTTTGCTAATTAAAATACACATTTGACATGATAGCCCACGTGTACGTAACAACATGAAATATTGCCTCCTAAATAAAAGGAACGTGCACTCGGATTTCCAGGGGTAACAAGTGGGAAGCCAGCATTTTGCTGATATCAGTAACTTGTGACGTGTGAGTGCTGGCCTACATGGATAATGTACACCGCACTGCGTGTAAGTGCACCAGTTTCCTTGAAAAGGAACGTTACTGACAGTCAGTTACGTCATCTTTTCGTTATCTAACTTGCCTTCCTTTTCTCATTCCAAAAATTTTGAAGTTCAAAGCTCCGCTTTTCAAAACACCCATGCTAAATTCAGCTCCTAAGCTCCACCTCGTTTTTGTAAGCAAAACCCAGTGTCGTTAATTGTAAATGCTTCACCTATAATGCATATTACATAATGCATAATTGTATGGCTAAGCGTGTATTTGGATCCTGCCGTTACCTGTCTCCTGCTTCCTTAAACGAGTCGTCACTATCGCTATTTTCAAATCCAGCGTATCTTTAACAGTAATGGACTTGAGTAGGAGCGTTCCCGTCTATGTGTGCAGCTGCATCGTTGGTACGTATCTGTCAGTCAGTGTGCACATTGTGCCCGGTGTCGCCCGGTGTTGCTCCGTGGTCGCCCGGTGTCGTCCGGTGTCGCTCCGCGGTCGGTCGCCGTGCCGGTGTCTCGGCACGCTCGTGCCTGCTGACCGGGTGACTGTGGTGTTACAGAAGCAGCAGCACCACCGGCAGCCTCATGAACGACAAGCGGCTCATCAAGACGGGCAACATCGGCACCCTGGTGCTCCACGGCCAGCCTCAGGTAACGCGCCACGTCCGGTGGGCCCCGCGGCAGTAGATTAGCCAGGGAATGGGACCGCGGACGGACCAGGCGCCATTCGAGACAGGCGCCTGGCTCAAAGTGATAGGTGCTAACAGTCAGGTCCCGCATGTGAGCAACCGTAGATCCGGCCAATTTTCGCCTTGCATAGTTCATTTTTAACTAAACTCTCGGTGCTAGTATTGATTTATGTACTGCTGTACACTGGCTTTCCAAAGCTCCGGATATGCATTTCATATACTTAGCAGTGTCATTTTCTGATATGTCCGCCAGTACGTGTATGTGATGACCGCCCGCGTGCAATATTAAAACGGGATACCTGTTGTGCATGCAGCCTCGGTGGAATGCTTACTTTGCCAACGCGCGAGCTCTGTCGAACTCGGTAAGTCGAAGGCCCTCGGGGGTAAGTGACCGTGTGCCACCCGGCGCCTGCCTGCAGCCCAATCACTGACGCGTCCGACCTGCACTGTCACTCTGTCCCGGTCCACCCGCGCGGCTGACGGCCGTAACTGCCAACCGTGACCGTCGCGCCGGCCGGAACCTCCTGCACGGACTTGAGCTCTGTCAACTGCACGCCGTATGCCACTTATCAGGAACAGTCGTATGAAAACAATTATCACAATTCCTGGAATAAAATGTGAATATGAGGAATATTTGCATTAATGCGACACCAACAGTTTTCACGGCGAATATGGTTTTGTGTTTTCTGTATGATGCCTGAGTCCTTTAGCATGTTTGGTAAACTGTATTTTCTTGGCAGTTTGCTTTAACCCGCGCCCTGGGGGGTCTGTTTATAACGCGACCTGGTGGGGGGGGGGCTATTTTTTGCCCTCCCCCCGTATCTCCGAAACTACTGGACAGATCCGAAAAATTCAAACGGCGCTCGAAAGCCCTGTCAAATTTGGTGAGGGAACTTCAATTTCATTGACCTCGGGGTCACCGATGACATCACAGGTCAGGTCAAAGATAAAATATTTTGCCGGTCACGGGTCTTCTAGGGAATGCGCTATAACATCGAGTAATATGCATTTTATCGAAAATCAGCGATAGGACGTCAGTTGCCTAGTACCTACATATGTTTCTATTACAGGTCACTGATAATACCAGGTCAGGTCACAGGTCAGGTTTTCATTTCCAACTCAATGGTGTTGGTTATAAGACCATCAGGAATGGTTTAGGTCACTTCCTGGTGAAGGTCAGGTCAATGTCAGGTCAAAAACGTCAAATTTCAAAGTTTACATTTTTTGCATAAAATGGGTTCGATGCAGCTCGTCACGGCGAGTCTAATGGTGGCAGTGTTCTAAAATTGGATTTTGGTTGGGTGTGCCGATGAAGAAGAAAAAATCCTGGGATGACAAAAAGGATGTAAATAACTGAAGTATTTTTGCAAAATGGTGTACCTAATGCCAATTTTTATGTCAACTGATAAACCAGGATTTCATGTCAGGATCTTGACAGGATGTGAGCCCTGCTGGGGGGGGGGGGGACTTTGAACACCCCCGTTGTGGTTTTTTCGCGAATATTCTCAAAAACGGCGGCGCTCCGCGCCGCCGTTTTTGGTACACCTCATCATACATCAATTCTACATATGTTGTGAAAATTTCAGACCAAGGTCATTCAAGGTCAGGTCACCAGGTCACTTGAAGTGACCTCACCTCATAAAAAGTTTCAATGTCTGCCATAGCTACACCGAGTGACCGATCGCTTTGAAACTTTCAGCGATTGCTAAGAGCAATAGCATGTACAAAATGTCTATCTCAGAATTTTGATATCGACGACCTAAGGTCAGGTCAATTTTGCGACCTCCCCATTATAAGTCAACGGGAGAAAATTGAAATGCGCCTCTTTTGGACGAAAGACATTATAAACACTCCCAAACACTGAACATGAAAATGGTGTCCGTGACCCCTGTTTATGCCCCTGAGGTCATCTTAGGTCACGAATGGTATCTAACAGCTTTTCGCAAACAACTTTTGATAGAGGCATGCTAGAGCGATGAAAACTCCTTAGATGTGTTCAGCTCGATGATACGGATCGACTGATATGCAATATGACCATTTCCGGTCAGGTGACCTTGACCTGAGGTCAAATTTTCTAGTTGACCTTTCTAGGTCAAGTTATATTTTATTCGATGCGTCTTGACGAGATGAACACGATGCCGGTAAAAGTAAGCTCGTACAAGGCCTGGGTCAAAAGCTATTGCAGCAAAGCTGTTTCCGAAAAAATCGGCTATTTTTGCAGTTTTTGCCCCCTGCAGGCAAAATCGCTGACGTTAGGTCAAATCTGAGGGAATTATTCAGAAAGGGCGTTAATAGAGCCATCGAATGCGTTTTTCCGCGGCGCTGTAGCTCTATTGGTTCCCGAGTTATGCGTTGGCTTCTTGGAAATTGTCGACATTCGACCTGGAAATCGGCGAAATTTTGCCTTCAATGACCTCTGGTGACATGACCTTTGTTCTGACCAAAAAATTGACTGAAGTGATTTCGTCATTATTTTTTACTTTCTTTCGAACGCCGCCTTCCTCGTATCGCTACGTGGCCCAGGAGCCGAGTTAGAAGGGGGGGGGGTTAAACACCCCCCCCCCCAGCAGGGCGTGGAAATCCAAGACCCCCAGCCTGGCGCAGGTTAAAGTGACCATCCCACCTTAACCCTCGCCGGCACAGGCCTGGGGGACACTTTACGTTGATGCAACCCATTAGCCGCGTGTTTGCAAGTTCAAACATGTGATTTGATGTTGCTCCCATACATTATGGTGGGTGTCAAGGTCACCTGAAGGTCAGGTCAGGTCATTGACCTTTGGTGACCTCGGGTGACCTCGGTTCTCTTTTTCGAGTTTTACATGTTTCTAGGCTAGTTTTTGGAGCTGAATTCGAATTTAGCAACCATTTGAACATTTACGAAGTAGTTTTGGTGCTTTCGTAACATGTTACGAAGCTGTCAGAGGCGGTTGACACGTATTACGAATACCCGTCACAACCCCTACCGGTTGACCTGACCTGACCTGACCCGACCTGGTCTAAATGCTTAAAAACATCATCTCTGATCAAAACTAACACGATATTCGTGATCAGCACCCCGGAAAACCACATAGCAGCCACACTTTACGACTTTCTAACAGGTCCCGATTTTCCCGGTTTTCGGGTCATTGACCTGACCTGGAAGGTCACCCGATGACCTAGGACCTTAAAATTGGGTATCATCGGCTTCCTCTCGTGACGGGCAACACGCTCGTTTTTTCCGCGAAGCTCTAGCTCGATCAGGGGCCAAACGCGAGGGGGGGGTCGTACCCCCCCCCCCCTTGTGCCGTCGAAGGATGCAAAATGGCCTGTGCCGGCGAGGGTTAAAGGGACCCTCCCACCTTAACATTAGTTTTGAGTTGAGATAGCCAAGTTTGCGGCCAGGCTCAGAAACCACCATTTATCCTGGTCGCAACCCCCGCAGCTTTATGGTGTTCAATAAATTTCTTCCCTTTACTTGCAGGGTGGGACCAGCGTGGTCCCTATCTCTTAACCATTACGGGAATCTGATGACGTCATCAGGCTTTCGAACGTCCGTTAAATGTTTGACTAAAACGTTTTGTAGCACGCGGTGGTATATGCTGCTTTGCGCGCAACGAATGCCGCACTTTCAAAAAAAGTCGCTAGGAACAGCGGAGATCCCAAAAAGTAAACAAAAGTAAAAGTCTAATATCTTGAAAACCGGTGAATATTTTCGATGAAATTTGGTAGATATTCGTTTTTGCTCTTTCTGAACCGAGCGACATCACTTTCATGCCAATTCATTAACTTTTTTGAAGGTGGGAGGGTCCCTTTAACATAAGTTTTGAGTTGAGATAGCCAATCTGGGGTCCCTGGCTTACAATTGCCGGTTCGGGCACTTAGGTACAACATCGAGAAATGTTTCAATTCCGAGATATTCAATTTGAAAGTCTGCAATTTTTAGACTCTAGGGGTCTAATACACTTGAATGCCCCTCAGAATTTGTGGGGATGGTCCTTCTAAGTCAGATCTGAGTAACCAGAACTAATTTAGACAAAGCGCTGCCCCGCAGTACTCTAGCCCTATTCGTTCCCGAGTTGTGCGCCGATCTGTTAGAAGCATCGAAATAGGCGAAATTTGACCTTTTGTGACCTCTGATGACCTGATTTCTGACCTGATCTAAAATTATCAAAAAACAATATTTTGTAGACGCTCTTTCAAATGTCGCTTACCGCTTGTTGCAATGTGGCTGAAACCGTGCCAGAAGTGATTTTGTCGACGAAAGCTTCAAAATCGCAAGTGTGCATTAATCCCATGCATAATTCACTACAAGTTGGAACAGCCGACGGAGTAGCAGCCTCAAGCTTGCTTGCACCATGGGTAGGTACCGCATTCTCCTATTTTTTATCTCTCTCCTCTCCTTTTCTCTTCTCTCCTCTCCTCTCCTCTCCTCTCTTTCCTCACCTCTCCTCTCCCCTCCCCTCCTCTTCTCTCCTCTCTTCTCTTACTTCCCCTCTCCCCTCCCCTTCCGCCCCTCCTCTCCCTCTCTCTCTCTTTCTCTCGCCTTCATTCCCCTCCCTCTCTCTCTCTCTCTCTCTCTCTCTCTCTCTCTCTCTCTCTCTCTCTCTCTCTCTCTCTCTCTCTCTCTCTCTCTCTCTCTCTCTCTCTCTCTCTATTCCCTCCTCGCTCCCTCTCTGCCTCCCCACTATCCCCGCCGCTTGCCCGCGCGGGGGGAGTACCCGCAGACTACCCGTGAGTCACAGCTGCGCCACTATTTGAGCGTCCGGAGCACGATGTGGGCTGAGCAGTTCCTCACGACTGGTGGCGCTGGTAGGTCGCAGTCGCACAGCGGCAGTATTCCGTGTAGATTTGATTGCTGTGCTTTTCTACGAATTGTGGCGACTCGAGAGGACGTTGACTTGACCTGAAGCAATTGCATTTGTACCGGAGACATTCGTTGTAACGGGCTCGGTTTCTGACCAGACAGGAATCCAGACACAGGTACGGTTTTTGACGGGAGTTAGTCGTTGAGACGGGCAGTTTAATATCCGCCGTGGTTCAGATGGAGGGCGCAGCGACCGAAGTCGGCCGTCGGGGCGCGGAGCGGCGGGGTGACGGTCCGCAGCCGGGGCCGGCCACGGCGCCGGTGGACGTGGCTATGGCGGCCGTCTGGGCCGTGGTGCACGGCTACCTGAATGTGCTGCTGCGCGGCCGGCCGCTGGCCGAGCGGCTGCCGGCCAACAGCGGCGGCCGGCCGGTGGCGCGCCTGCTGCTGCTCTGTCCCAGCGACGGCCGGCTGCCGGACGACGTCGGCGCCCTGCACCCGCGGCTGGCCCCGGCCGGCCGCGCCGCTGAGGTGCTGGCCTCCGTGGCCGGCGCCCGCAGCCGGCCGATGGGCGGCCAC